GTTAGATTTGCAACTTTGTGAGAGCACTATCAGGTATAACAGGAGAGGTTTTTTTTTTTTTTTTTTTTTTTTTTTGCTTCTGCTTAGTGTGATATTGATCTCAGAGAGCCATTAGAAATCACTCCTGGCCATCTTAGTTCAGATTTATTTTGCTTACCCTGGGAAGGTCTGAACCCATGATCAAGGGCCAAGAATTTCAAGTGTATTCTTGGCTTTGGCCCTGTTTCTGAGTAGCATTCGGGAAACTTACTGTTATTCATTGATTTTCTGATTGCTAGAGAAGTAGTGGTCGTGCATAATTATTTCACATGGAAAATTCCACAGCTACAGATTTAAATACGGTTTAATTAACACATAAGCTATAAGAGGATTTATTATGATTCTTAGATATGAAATGTCAAATTTTGAAGTAATGCTCTAGGAGCATTTTGGACTGTAGAGAAAGGGAAACTTTCTAATGTTTTAAAAGCAACTTTCCTTGTGTTGAGTTAGTAATAATGACTTTTCAAACCTAGTTATCATCTTTTTACAAGAAGATGGAGTATGAGTAAGGTTGGCTGCCATTCTGAAACTTTAGTACTTCACAAAGTGGTGGAGGTACATGTTTGCTTTTCCTTCCAGCTTCTTCATCTGGTTGGTGCATTGAATTTTAAAGGGTGTACTTGAGCTAGTACATGCTACTTAAAAAGAGAACACTCTCTTACAAGTAGTTGATAGAAAAGCTCATTAAAATTCTATGTATGGGGCACTTCTCCTTTCCCTCTACTCTCTCTGGAACACTCTTAGAAAAGAATTATTAGGCTAGCAATAAGTCAGAACTTCAGTAATGACTGGGGTATGGACTCCAGACAATTGCCTTCTCATCCTCTTATTTCATCTTGGCCCTACTCATGACACTTAAACCCAACCCTGATGCCAAAGAGAAGGTATATGAAACGCTCTTCCCTCAGCCTATTGTGTCTGGGGAAAACAGAGATCACCTCATCCCTGAATCTTTTGTAATTTGTGGAATCACAGAGTGAGTCTCTATCACAGACTTCAAATTTAGTCTGATCAGAGACGTCAAATGTCATTGAGCAGTACCCCCTAAGCTTCCCTAATCAAGTCACCATCCATGCCTGACTTGTGGACATCTTGTCAGGGGGTGTCCCCTACCTCACATGGAAGTGGGCTCCCTATTCAGAAAGATATAACTGTTACTGAGCAAGAAGGCAGGGCATATGAACAGTTGTCAGAGTCATTAACAATAGCTGGAGTCATGAACATTAAAGATACTAATGACTTTGAATTTCATTTGCTCAGTTGGGAGAGCTGATTTAAGCAGAGGAATAATCCAAGCAGCGCTGTACTTTTAGAAAGTGAATTTGGCAGTTGTTTAGAAGACAAGATGTAGCAGATTGGATCAGGGGCATGGAAACCACGTGAAAGACAACTATTAAGCACCTACTGAGGGATGCTGAGGTCCCCAGGATAGGTGAGGGAAGCACCGAACCCCTGGTTCTTAACTCTGACAGTTCATCAGGGTCACCTCAGCATCTTATGCCTCGGACCCATGGCCCTGGATTCTGAGACAGTTAGAGCAGGGTCATTTTGTGATCATTTGACCTTTAAATACTACAGGGGTGATTCAGCTATGCTGACAGAATTTATATCTGCGGTAATAGTAGCAGTGCATAATCCCTGAGCCCTGAGCTTGTGCTGAGCTATTTACATATAGTAACTCCTTAAATCTCCTGGGACATATATGCTGCTTTACGCCCGATTCACAGATGAGGAAAGTAAATCCAGAGATGTGGATTTGGTGGCCCCAGATCCCATGAGTTAGTGGGAGAGTCAGGATCAGAACCCAGGCCACGCTGACTCCAAAGCTTTGCTGAAATAGGATTGAAAACAAAAACAAAACAAACTTGGTGTATTGTTTTATGAAAGTAACATGATATTAGCCAGTTTTTCCCAAAAGACACAATAATCTTTTCAAGTTTATAGAACTTGAAAGTCACATGTAAGATTTTAAAAGAAGGTGTATGCTTAAAATATTAAATTACAGGAAAAAATTATTTATTTTAAAGTTATTTTTTTCTGCTTCCTGAGCCAACCCAGCATGCTTTTCCTGGCTTGTGTTCTTTCTGCTGCTACCAGAGGAAGAACAGAAAGATGATGTCATCTGATATTTTTCCCCCCGCTGAGTCAATAAAAGAATAAAATGAAATATATCTTTAATTCAGGAATTCCTTTACGGACACACAGAAAATCTAGTTTTCAGCCATGCCTATGATGTCTGTTAAGAACAGAAACATTTTAAATTGTTTAAAGAGGAAAAGAAAAAAATGAAAATCATTCATAACGTCACCATCCATCGGTGACCATGTTAACATCCCACCAGTGGTCTTCTTTGGTCCTGGTTGAAAGTCCTTCTTTCATTGGAGGTAAAAACTAGACATATTCTTATGGCTTATGATGTTCCTATATTCAAACTTTGGATTACCCACTGACTGAAGAAATTCTACAAAGTTCAAGCAGTTCTGATTCTGTCCTTTGGTCCCCATTTGTGTGACAACTTTTATTTACTGTGACCTCCGTGGTGAGTTTCTGGCCCCTGGCTAGCGCTCCTCCTGGCCATTTCCACTGCACTTGACACCCACATGTCCTGGGAAATTTGTTGAAGGGAAAGAGGGTAACCAATAGAAGCACTAAAAGATTTCAGTGCAGCATACCTAGATGGCTGATTTCAAAACTTTTTCTGAGTTAAAGCTGTGACGATCTTAATATGAGGGGGAGAAGTTTAGTTTTGAGAACTTTGTGTTTTTATAAATATCAGTTTAAAATTTTAAATTTGTTAAATTTCCAGCCTTTGCAAGATACTTTACCAAAATTGTTCCTGCTAAGAGCATCAGTGACTTCCTTTTGTTAAAGCCAGTGTCACTTTTTGATCTACTTTCTCTCTCTACTTCATTTATCCTTTGACTCCTTCCAAACATTAGCCTCAGGATAGTTCACTTCTGTGATTCTGTGATTTTCCTTCCACCTCTGGCTGCTACTTGGTCTTTTTTTTTTTTTTTTAACAGTTTTCTCATTTACCCTCCTGTCTGTGAAGATTGAGTCCTCAAGATTCTGACTTGAACCACTTAATTCTCCTTACTCTACCCACCTCCTTAAGCCACTTTCATGGCTCTGTTGTTCAGCTTTTATGTGATAATAATCCCAAATAGTACATGTCTGGCCCAGATCTCTCTCCTAGTTCCTGATTCAAATCTCCAAGTCCCGATAGGGGTCTCCATAGATATGTTTTTGAGATAGCCCAAATATAAGATGTTTGAAAACATAAACCATTTCTTACTGACCAGTCTTCCTCCATATCCTGCTTTCCTACTCTCGGCAATACTACAGTTGTCTGAACAAAAATCTCAGTGTTTCCGTAACTTCCACCTGTTTCTCATTCCCTGTGTTTAATAACCACTGACAAAATTTTGTGTTTTCTACCTCCTTACTATATCTCAAAATGATCACATTCTATTTATTTCCCTTTATCACTACCTGATTTTTAAAATTTTAATTCCAATATAATTAACATACAGTGTTATATTAGTGTCAGATCTACAACATAGTGATTTAACAATTCTATACATTACTCAGTGCTCACAATAGGTGCACTCTTAATCCCCTATCACTACCTAATTTTTTTATCACCACCTAATTTTTAATGGCTTAAAGATTTAATTCAGCAGAGACCTCTTTCCTAAACTATGTTCCACCATATTTGTTCCACAAGGTGTTAAATTGTACAAAAAATCAATTTGAGGAACGTTGCATATCACTATTCTCATCTTGGCAATTCACAATGAACACAAAGCACTAAGAAATCCTGCAGAGAATCAGTTTGCTTGTTTAACATTCCCATTAGCCTCACCCTACTTTCTCGGGGACAGATTTTAAATGTCTTGCTGCCATTGTATAGATTGGGCTAAGTTTGTATTGGATGTGAAATAAGGAACATACTCATTTTTCTTCCAAGTATTCTTTTATCCTGTAAACATTTATTGAATAATCTCTCCTTTCCCTGCTTGTTTATGGGCCCCCCTTTATCATATATTAAATTCCTAAATATCTTGGTGTCTGTTTTAAAGCTGACCTTTGGCTTTTTAATTTATTATTTTAAGATAGGGCATTTGTTGGTATTTTTTATGGAAACCCATCTGAATATAGAATACATCATCTTTAATAGCTAAAGCCATGCCCTAATATATCTGAGTATCGAATGTGAGCTCTACAGCAATAAAATTGAGGCCAACTGAGTCCTCAACCATAAAGTCTATTGAAGAAATTTTGCACTGGGTAGGAAGGAAATCAGACTTGAAGGGGTATTGAAAGTGTTTTGGTATTTGGCTACATCATTAGCAGTTTATTTATTTTTAAAGATTGTATTTATTTATTTATGAGAGAGAGAGAGAGAGAGAGAGAGAGAGAGAGAGGCAGAAACACAGGCAGAGGGAGAAGCAGGCTCCCTGCATGGAGCCTGCTGTGGGACTCGATCCCAGTTCTCCAGGATCAGAACCTGGGCTGAAGGCGGTGCTAAACCACTGAGCCACCCGGGCTGCCTACATTAGCAATTTAAATGAGCAAGGTCTATAATCCTCCCACCCCTCTTTTCCAATTGACAGAAGTGGTGGTGTTTAGTAACCTAAGGTTAATCAAGACTCAATTTTCAGTCAGATATACTTAGAAACCTATTCAAAGTTATCTTGCTTTGTAATGGTCTGGTTTCAAGAGGGTGATTTAGTAAAATTACATCTGAACTACTTAAGATTATAGAATTAATCACATCTTTTTATTGTGTCATTTTCTTAATTTTAAGAATATTTTCAGGGGTGGTGCAGTCAGTTGAGCATCTGGCTCTTGGTTTCTGTTCAGATCCTTATCTCAGGCTCATGAGATCAAGCCTCATATGGGGCTCTGAACACTCAGCATAGAGTCTGCTTCAGATTCTCTCTCCCTCTGTCCCTCCTGCTCATGCTCTCTATCTTTTTCTCTGAAATAAATAAATAAATCTTTAAAAAAATATTTTCAGACATTAAAACATAGTCATAATATTATAATCACACCAAAATAAAACATCTAGTTTTGTCACTTTTTACATTTGAGGCATTAACATAATTATTCAAATCATTTATGGTATAATAATAGCCCATATTAGAAATAATAATACGAATTTTTACTTTAAGTATTTTTTTTCCTTTTCTACTTGAACAACATTCTAAATACATTAAGAATGCTTAGATTAAAAAATGCTTAGATTATATCAATTGTTCTATAAGTCTCTATATACATGGATCTTTTTTTTGTGGTCAAATGGTTCTTAAAAGACTTCAGGGATAAGCCTGACATTTTTCCATTTTGAGATTTGTTGCTTCTTTCATGTTTTTGGAATTTTTGTTTATCTTTGCAATACAAGAGCTTTATCTACATACATCTAGATTTGTTTGTTCATTAGTATTTACTTCCTGATACATAGTAAGACTGTGATATAAAGAGTCTCGATTTTCATTTTTCAGAAAAATATTTTATGATCTATTTGAATATTTTTCCATTTTTTTCTATTTCTGTTCAGGAGTATATTATTTTTTGCAAATCCCTGTTTATTTGGCATATTTTTTCTCAAATACTTTTTAAAACATTAATTATTAGAGAAAAATTAACATGTAATGCAATATTAGTTTCAGGGGTACAAGATATTTTTTAGAAGATTTATTTATTTATTTATTTATTTATTTATTTATTTATTTATTTATTTATTTATGATAGACAGAGAGAGAGAGAGAGAGAGAGAGAGAGAGAGAGGCAGAGACACAGGAGGAGGGAGAAGCAGGCTCCATGTCGGGAGCCCGACGCGAGTCTTGATCCCGGGACTCTAGGATTGCGCCCTGGGCCAAAGGCAGGCGCCAAACCGCTGAGCCACCCAGAGATCCCCAGGAGTACAAGATATTGATTCAGCAATTCTATACATTACCCAACTCTCACCATGATAAGTGTAGTTACCATTGGTCATCATACAGTATTATTACAACATTATTGAGTATATACCCTATGCTGTACTTTTCATTTCCAAATCACATTTTATCTCGAGTTGTAACTTTTAATTGATCCAATTTTCCTGGCCTGGGATGAGCAGTGACCAGGTGAATTTCTTTTTACATAGTTGTGAGGCTAATACAGTTTTGTGTGTGTGCTCAGAATGTCACGTTGATTAGCCTCTTTTGGACACCTAGAATCTACACTTTAGGTAGATGATGCTATAGTCCCTTTCAATTCTATGATTCTGTGATACTATATATGGAAATGTCCTAGTTTCTTTGGGGAAAGAAGTTAATAAAGAGCAAACACAGACATATTTTTGTATATAAAAGAATATCTGAATAGAGAAACACTGAAATGTTACTAGCGTTTGTAGATGCATGGTGGAACTTTGCTGGGTGTCTTCTGTTCCCCAGATCCATTCTATGTCCTGTAGTAGACCCTGACGAATGGCCAGTATGGACTATAACCATGGGCGTGCTCTCCTACCCTCTGGTGTCTGGTTGGGTTCAGCCACTGGAGAGCCCCAGGAGATTGGAGAGGAAAAGGAGTGTGGTGTTGAGTTCTTGATTCCCCAGCCACTTCCTTCCAGAACTGCCTTGTGCTTATGCAGTCCCTCCACTGAAGGTCACAGCTCCTCTTGAGGAATCTTCTCCCTTTGACTCCTGGGTTCTAGTAACCACTACCCCCCTTTGCCCTTTGAGGCCCATGGTCATAACAGCCCCACTCTTCCTAGCTCCATCATTATCCCTGGTGATTTCCCTTTATCCTTCTGAAAGATAGTAGATCATTGAATAGTCTGCTGTCAATATTAGAATCTAGGCACTTGCTTAAAGAAATGCTGGTTACTGTCAGTTATTTCTTGGCTAAATGGATGTGCACTTATATTTTGTTTTTAGATCCAAGAGTTGAAGACTGGCTCCTTATGTCCTCACCTCTGCCACAAACCATCATCCTGGGACTCTATGTCTATTTTGTCACTTCTCTAGGACCAAAGCTCATGGAGAATCGAAAGCCCTATGAACTCAAGAAAGCGATGATAACGTACAATTTCTCCATAGTACTCTTTTCTGTGTATATGTGTTATGAGGCAAGTGTCTTCAGTATTCCTAATGGAAGAATTTTGCTTGAATCTTCCTGTATTTCTGTCATTGTTTCTTGTTATGATTATAATGATAACTGAGATATAAGGAATTTTAGAAATTTATCTTAAATCTTTGCCAAAAAAAATTGTTATGTATGGACCAGATATTGAGCTATTTAGAGGATCTCAGTATAGTCTACTTCACAAGTAGTGAGAAAAATTAACATTAAGTCCGGTAACTTGCAACAGTTAATCTTAACAGATGATTGAATGAATCCATAAGTGTTGGTTTTAAGGCAACTCATACTTGGAGAAGTTACGTAACTCTCAAAGTAACATTCAAAATAACATGCCTGGTTATTGGAGAACTGATATCTGAATCCGGGTCTGTCTGACATTGGGAGCTCATCTTGACTCTGTAATGAGTTATCATCATGGTAGGAACTTCTGATGAGCTGTAAGATGGTGGACTGTTTAGGTTTGGTTTAGCTGGTCCTTGTGGGGACAGAGAATTTATATTCATCCAAAGCAGTAGGTGAAGGAACCTGTCCCTTTGTCAGTAAGAGAGAGTGGGATCTTCCAGGACCAAGAGTAGACTCATGGATTCTCTCTCACCTACAGTACTATTAACAACCTTCACCAGCCTCACTTACCTGCTTTTCTGGGATTCTTTGCTTCTTTTCCAATACTGGCTGGCTTTCTCATCTTCTACTCCTTATTTACTTCTTTGCTGCATAGCTTGTGCTTCCACATAACTGAAAAACTCTTGAGGGCCCACCATGACCCCTGCAGCCCCTCTTGACCTCTCCATATGTATCCCTCCAACTTGATTCCCACTGCAAATCTACCTGATTGAGTCACCTTAAATTTGTTGTAGCTTCATTTCTCATTGGCTTCCCTAAAGTCTGGACTTGCCTTGCTACCTTCTATTTCTTCTACGTATTTACCAAAATTAACTACAAGCTACCTTACTGTCCCTTATGGATCACAAGTAACTGAAAGGAGAGGGTTAGTAGAGGTGAGGACCAGAAAAAATACATGCTCTTACCAAGTTTTGAGAGAGAGGAAACAGCCTATAGGACAGTGAAGTGCAGACCTAGAAGCCAGGAGACAGGGGCTAATTAGTACCAGTCATGCTACTAACCAACTGCCTGATTTTTGAGCAAGTTATTTAACCTCTCTGGGCCTTAGTTCTCCCATTTTATAGAGTCAAGGTGAAACCAAATTGTTTCTCACGTCCCTTTATACTCCATGTCTGATTATGTTATTCAGTGTGATGTCCCCAAATATGTTTCTCAGGAAAAGAATTTAATTATAGCCATTAAGTTTGGGTTCCTACTTTAGCAAATACAGTGTAAAAGAAGTTTTGAAAATATCTGAATTTGGCAGTTTCTGTGTCCCATTAATCAATCACTCATACTAGAGTTACTTATATGCCAATGTTGGGGTTTATTACCTGCCAAATACAAATTGTTGCTCCTTCTTCTTGATAGCCTGAAACATAGAAATATATGTCAAAAGCTCCATAGACTATTAGAATGTTCTTAAACTTAGTATCAGGAAAGCACCAATTTTACTCTCTCTTTAAACAAAGACTCTTGGCAGCTGGTCAGCATATCATGTCCAGGACACTGAACACATGGTTTATTGGGTAGAGCACAATTACATTAGGTATACAGAGGAAACACCTCCACTTATGAATGTTAGGGAAAATATGAACAAGATGGGTTATAAATCTTGAAAACATGAGCAAGATGAAAGGGGAGTATATCACACAAAGGGAACCCACATGCCTGACTGTAGAGTGATGGTTTTGAATGTGCTAGTTACTTGGCACCAGTCAGACATTGATAAAGAGAGACCAGTGAAGATCTCACAGGAGACCATGTCACAGAGCTTCTGTTATTCAACTCAGTCCTTATTTGAGGTATGGTAAAGTGGAAAGCCAATCATCCCAGTTAAGTAAGTGGACTTTCAGTTTTACTTGCAGCAGTCAGAAGAGAATCTGAATGGAAGAGAATATGATGGTCACTGACAGATCAGGATTTTGTAGAATTAGCTATTTTTCTACACATCCCCTTGTTCCTTTGAGAAAACTTGATTTGTTTTTGTAAGTCATTTTTCTAACCCATAAAATATGTCTTTTCTGATCATCTTTGTAAAGATTTCGCCATTTACCAAGTTGACAGTGGAATTAAATATCTTAGGAATCAAGGTAGGAGCTAATATCAGGAAAGGATGGTATGAGTTTGAATACCATGGTCTAAAGAGTTGTTCTTTCTCTTATGCATCTTTTTGGTTTTCACCATTAAAATATTCTGATAAACCTCATAAATTTTTGCTTTTAAAAACTAATTTATGGTGAAGTTTTCATTTTAGCTTTAATAGTAATTAAAAATAGAAATTTAAAAGGTGCACTCATGGCAGAAAATGATGTAACCATTATACTGAGAAATAAGACATTCCAAGGAAGATGCTGGGATTTGTGAGAATAGGATGTTGGAGAAGAGCTGATTGTATTGTCAGAACACTCAGTTAAGACAACCATTTAATTTATACACTCATTTAAAAGTAGAGCCCTTAGCTCTTCATTTTCAGATACTGTTTTTTTTCATTTTCTTAGTTTTTGTTTGAATCAGATACTGTTTTAAAAGAACTTCCCCCCATCATACTAAAAGAATGTCAAAATAATCTTTGAATTAAGGTTCAGATAACAACAATAGACCCTTTCTTCTCACCACTAGTCTAAGGTCACTTTGTGGGTGTGCTGGAATTAAGGCATGCCAGATTGCACTCTTCTTGTTAACATTTTCCTCTCTTACTCATCATGGGAATCCAAAATGAACTGATCTCTGAGTCTTGTGTTTGATCGATCTTGATTTTTAAGAGTCATGGACTACCACCTCACATTACACGCACTAGCCAAGAACAGGAAAACCCAGTTGTGGCAGCCATCTAATGAGTACAGTGAGAAATTTTGGTTTGCCGATTTACTTATTGACTGATTGAGAAGATTAGAAATCACCAGAAAAGACTGTTTTCAGACCTTGCTATCCCCTTCAGAGTATGTAAATGTATTCACAGGCATATATAGATATACATATGTGTACATATACTGGCATATACCAACCAGTGTTTGCTATATAGGCAAAACACCCAATGTATTATTCTCCACTGTTATCAGAATAATCATTCCAAGACATGGACATTTGAGTGAGAACAAAGTTGATGTAGGTAATATATGAGTATACAATTTTGAAAATGCTTGTTGCTTTGATTATCAAAGGAGTTCCCAGTCTGTAATTGTTCTACCCTGCCTTTTCGTCTGCACTGCATGCGGAGTCAACTGTGATTGTGGTAAAGAGACACAATCCAAAGTCCTGTTGTTGTAGCTGTTGAGCAGATGCTTCGTCCTTTAATGTACATATGCTCTCTTCCAGTTTGTGATGTCTGGCTGGGGCACAGGTTATTCATTTCGATGCGAAATTGTTGACTACTCACAGTCACCTTCAGCACTGAGGGTGAGTTTTCTTTGGAAAAACTCATAATTCAAATTAAATGTTAAAACATTTTATACTCTTTTTTAACACTTATGTGAATTCAGAAAAAGTAAATGACTCGATTATCAAATTATATGTACAGAAAAAAAAGCTAAAAATAATCAGAAAGAATCAAATATAAAGTCAGGCGCGTGGTTTACTGCTAAATGAAAGTTGGTGCTCTTATTTTTTACCTTCCTGGATTTAAAAACAAATTCATATCTGGTTCCTCAAACAATTAAAGATAGAATTACCATAGGATCTGGCTATTCCATTTCTGGATACTTAACTGAAGAACTGAACACAGAGACTCAAAGAAATATTTGTATACCCATAGTCACAGCAGCACTTTTCGCAGTAGCCAAGAAATAGAGGCAACCCAAATGTCCACGGACAGATGAACAGATAAAGAAAATGTGGTACATACATGCAATGGAATAATCCCCAGCCTTAGCAAGGAAAAAAATCTGACATGTGCTTTAACACTGATGGACCTGGAGGACATTTCACTGACTGGAATTATCCAGGCACAAAAGGACAAATACCGTATGATTCTATTATGTGAAATACCTGGAGTAGTCGGAATCAGAGCCAGAAAGTAAAATGGTAGTTGTCAGGGGATGATGGGGAAGGGAGGTAAAGAGTGATTATTTAGTAGGTACAGAGTCTCACTTTTGCAAGATGAGAAGCGATTTACAGATGGATGGTGGTGATGGTTGCACAAAAATGAGAATGCCACCAAACTGAACACTTACAAATGGTAAATTCAGTATGTATATTTTACCAAAATTAAAAAAATAAAAATTTCCTCCACATAAAAAATAAAATAAATTCATATCTATGTGTGTTTCTGCAGATGGCACGCACCTGCTGGCTTTATTACTTCTCCAAATTTATTGAGCTGTTAGATACTGTGAGTATGTGGTTACCACATTTGGTAAATGTTTGATCTTTCAGTGGAAGCAATAAACTGCTGGAGTTAATCTGTCTGATAATTCTTGTTGTCTTTTCACTTCCGGCAGAACTCCGATTATTTTTTACCTTTTATTATCAGTAATTTTAGACAATAGGATAAGCATTTTTTTTCAATCTTTTGCAAACTCCAAAAGCTCTTGTTATGTATCTACTACCTGATTAAGATAAGTATGTAACTGTCACATATTCTGCAAAACTGTGCATCTTTATGGAGATGGATAACTAGTGTTTGGGGAAGCAGGTTCATGGAGCAAAGAACAGAGAACATTTTACCTTGCATTCTTTTGATATAAACCAAAGCACTATGTCATCCATATTCCTTTAAGAGGATAAATGCTTCAAAATTCATAAACTTACATTAGGATGTTATCCCTGGGATATCAGTAATTTTGATAACAACAAAACTATCTCCATCTGCCTTTCTGAAGTTTATGCTTACTAGATCTTCTCTTCTCCAATTTAAGATCCTGTTGAGGATCAACTCTGAATTTTGGTGACTGGGCTCTGGGAGAAGCAAGTGCCATGGATTAGGGTCCATGATGAAAGGAGAAAACCTACTTCTGTTTTCAGAGTAGCTTAGGAAAGCTGGACATTTATTTCATTGTTGGGGCATATGGATCTCAGTTATTCTGGAACCAGTTCTGAGTCTAAGACAACTGTGTTCTCTCCTCAGAATACATATTATAAATACCTATTACAGATTATGTATTTTTTGTAGCAAATCTCGACATGCTTCACCTTCTCAGCTGAATGATCACATACTGTTAGAATTGGAAGGGACTTTAGTGAGCATAGAATACAGTGGTTCTTAAACTTGGGCATGCCTTAGAATCACCTAGAGGGCTTGTTAACACAGAGATAGCATGCACCCCACCCCTACAGTTTCTGGTTCAGTATACCGGGCTCAAGAAGTTGCATCTCTTTTAAGTTCTCAGGTGATGTTATTGCTCTTGGTCCAGGGTCCACACTGGGAGACCCCGGTTGTAGTTCAGTGGTTCTAAGCCATCATGGTTCAGGAGAATTAACTGCATTAGAAAAAGCAACCACCACCACCACACACACAAAAAAAACCCTGGCCCTCACCTCTAGAGATTTGGTGCCAGATGGTCTACAGTTAGAGACTAGGCATGGCAATTTTTATAAAGTTTCTTGGACATTGTAATATGCAGCCAGGGTTGAGAACCACTGATCTGGTCCAGAGCCCTCAATCTGAAAATAAATTGAAACCAGAAAGGTAAGTAACTCACCCAGAGGAATGCCACTACTGCCTGGGACCAGGACCCCAGATAGTTGATGTGGGGCTTTTCCTTTGCATCCTGCATCATGCTGCCTTCTTCCATGTGCATAAGCAAATGCATTTTGGCTTCATTGTTCTGTTTTGCCTGTGCTCATTTCCAGGTTCCATAAGGAAACTGTTGCTACCTCTATGTCCTTCCCTAAACCACATTTCTCAAATACTGTTATGGATACTTCTATTTGTGCTGTTCTGCTTAGTTCTATATTTAGAAGTCTGACTCATCACTGGTATTCTGAATTTTGAATATTTCTTGAACACTTAATTCTGCTTTTGATTTTTTTTAAAACCCACTCCCCTGTAAAAACCTTCCAGTTCTCCTCCTTGTTTGTTTGTAGGGTTTCTGCAAACCATGAGTACATTCAGTCTGGATAGTGCCTTTGTTGCCTTTCTCATTTTTCCCAGGCTGCTTTTTCCCCTCATCCTATTTCTCCAAATCCCCTTGAGTTCTTCCCTTTTCATCTTTCTTTAATAATTATATGCTAACTTTTGCTCTGTTGCAAGTCCTCCTTTCCCTTATCTAAATTGGTAGGCTATCTTAGAGAACAATATAGAGTAATTTCCGTCCTAAGAATTGAGACTCTCTGCTTTCCCATATACTTTAAAATCCACGTGGATGTTTTCCTACCAGTAACATTTCTTTCAATGATATTTGGCTAAGTTCTTCACTTTCCATTTTTGATTTTCAAATCTGCATACATTTTCTTTAGCACTTTTTTATTTATTCTCCCATGACTAGTCATCATATCTAAGTTTCTTAATACTAATTAGCTTTTAAGCTGCCCCTTGGAGAATCAGCTGCTTCTATGAGCATTCTCTAAGGCAGCCCTTTGAATGTAAATTATGATGTTTGTACTTTGCCAGTATTTTTGTAACAGTAGATAAATCATTGCATGATTTTCTATGAACTTGATTTTTTTAAAATTATTTCAGATCTTTTTTGTTCTGCGTAAGAAAAATAGCCAAGTGACTTTCCTGCATGTCTTCCATCATACCATCATGCCATGGACCTGGTGGTTTGGAGTCAAATTTGCCGCAGGTAGCCAAGGGAGAGTTGGGATCATGTGTTATAAACGATTACATTTCTGTATGTTGTGAACACAAATTCTTCTGTCCTTATATATGATTTAGAAGAAACTCAAAACATCAAAGAATTACTTTGGTTAAACTTCTGACTTTCATTATTACCTGAAAGATAAATGTGAGACTCTCAACCTAGATCCCTCCCGCACCCTCCATTCTTTAGATACTCATGACTTTTGGGTACGGTCTCCTACTTTTATCCTTTCATTGTTTTGTTTGGATTTTACTCTTTTCCCATATAGTTCTATTAAATATCCTTAAATAAGTAAACAGTAAACAAATAAAATGGTAGAAGCCTTAGTTTTATAGAAATACAGTTAGGTTCCTTACAGGTTTCTAGAAAGTTAGAATGTTTTTCTCAAGTTCCAGCCTTCGTTGCTTTCAAAACTCCAGTAACTGATACACATCTCATTCCCTACCAACTCTTTAAAGATGTGTCAAGTTGTGGTGGAAGGATATTGTTTTGATATTTTTTTGAAGTCAAAACTGGTTTAAATCAAAAGCTTGGCATCAGACTCTTTTGTTCCTTTGGCATTGGTTTTATGCCTCTGAACATCTAGAATGGGAAAAAACAGGTTACATAATTTTGCCCTATCATAAAGTGTTAAATAAATGATATCCTCCCAGTACGTATACTTATTAGCATAAGTTGGTCCGAAGATTTATTTACGTGAGTTTCCTAAATTTAAGAAGTCTTTGAGTAGATCTGCAGCCCATGTTAGACAAAGCTTTACAATTTCTGTGAGTAGCTCATTTCTTTTGGGCATTCTGACTTTGCAGGACTAAAATAAGAAACCACAACTGAAGAATTCTTCTATGAGTTTTAGAGTCTCTAGGCATGGGGGAAAATCTTCATGTCCCAGAGAATGAGGAGAGGGCATGAATAAGCCATTGGCATGAAAGAGATTCCAGAACCTTAGCAGAGCCAGAAGGACGGTCCCTAACGTGGCCTTTGGGCATCAGATTTTCCAGTATGTGAGGTGTTTCCTTTCCCCAAATTGGCATTTATATGTCATGAATTTTTAAAAAGTAAATGTCACTGGTTTTTCTTACAATGTATGTTGATGTAAAAATGTAGCTCATGTTATGATAAGATAGTCTCATTTGTGTCCTTTTACAAATCAAGGATAGCTATATTGTTTAATTTCCATTATTTTACTTATCTTTATATGTATTTGTTTTCTCTCACATGCACATAAGTTCTTTGTAGAGTGATATTCATTGGCCAAAAATTGAAAAATACCTAACTACCCATTAATAAAATGATTATGAATTCTTGTGTATATATATATGTAACTGTGAAATGTAAATGATATTGACATCTAGTTCATCTTCTCCTTTAAGCAGTTTGACTCCAAAATTATCAGAAATAGGTGTCTCTTCTATTTTTAAAAGTATGCTAGAAAAAGCTCTTTCACACCCTTATAATTTATTTATTCAGATTCTTCTCTGAGACCAGAATATTAAAACACTGAAAAATAAGTATAAATAGGAAAAAGATTGGGGAGCAGTACCCCCAAAATACAGTTATTTGGAGGTGCTGACACAAAAAAGAGCTTTCCCTCTCCATCTTTATCTTCCTCTGTATTTTCTGATTTTTCTATATTGAATAGCTATTAGTTCTATAATGGGAAAAATGAACTTTATTTGAAGAATAGAGTTGAGTACTTTTCTAGTGTCTATTCTTGAGCCCATTGATAGTCTGGCTTCCATTTCCAAATAGGCATTGCTTTCAATAATGAAAATGTAGACATGAAATTCCTTGGTTTTTCAATGTTACCCTGTTTGTAGACATCAAACACTTTGTAATGAGTTCTTTGTCCACACCTTAATCCCCCTTCTGCTTTCAAAATGTAAATACTTTCTTCTCTCTTATATGTTCCTCAAGTCGACATTTCTGTTCAGTCTTGCATGTGGAATCTAGTAAATACTTGTACACCTAATATCTACTTAGTGACAAGTACAGCAACAAGAGCTGAGATATTTCCAGAAATGTGGTCTGGCATTGACTTTCATTCCTAGAATGAAACTCCAGTTTAAACTGTTCTTTCAAAAACTTGAGCACAGCTGATCTCTATCAAGTATTTAATTTCCTGTTTGCCTGTTGTACAATTCTCTGGCATAATAAGAATTCCAACTTTTCTTTGGAATATGATGCAAATGTTTCTCTGGCAGGTTTTTATATTCGTTATGCACATACTCCCTTCCAGAGATATGTAGAATTGTGATTACTACCCAGGTGATTCCTTTTTCTAAACCAAAGGAATAAAATGAGATGGCACTAATTGTAATTCATTCAGAGATGTTAGCTTTGCAAAAGTATTGTTGTAAAGGAGAAAGCAAGATTAGAAAATACTTTATTAGGAAAGCCTTCCAAAGGAGATGTGAAAAACATTATGAATTAAAATGTGACTGTTCTATGAACAAACTTATTAACATATCTGAGAAAATAATAACTAGACAAAATCAGCAAGTTAATTTTATTTGGAAGCTGATTTTGATTAGTAATCCTTAACTAAACCCTGTTAGGTACACTAGTGCTTTGTTAAATTCCTGCCCATTGGATCCTTCTCATTTTAGCACATTTAAATAGTGAAAGATTCTGGATGGAAAATAGTCTTCGACCAAAAAAAATGGGGCAGGTATCTTAGAAAGGTTCTGATGTAGTTTGTTTCCTGTGTGTTTATATAATCATAAGACACAAATGGACGTGAGAGGTATTTGGCTTATGCTAAGCAACTTGACTCCTAAACTATCAGAAATAGACAACTACTATATTTTTAAATCACCCTAGAAAAGGTGTTTTCACACCACTGTAATTTATTAACTCAAGTTTCTTTGGGGAAAAAAGACTAACCCAAATGTAAATAATAAAAGGTGGGAGGTTGTTAATAAGCTTCATTAATTCAGTTTCTTCTGACTTGAAGTTTATGAAAATCAAAGAACCAGCTGCAATTTTATTTACTTTATTTAGGAGAAGAAAGTTTATGAAGCACAGGACAGCATAAATGAGGCACTGGGGTAATATTTAAATAACTCAAAAATAATTTTTTAAAACAGGTTACTTTAAAGAAGTACTTTACCAGTGGTAACATCTAGAAGTATCCGGAATTTTTGCAATTATGAATGATTATTGAAATGTAATCTGTTTCTACTATGCAACAATTTTTATTTTGTTTTAAATTTCCTGTAATATGTAGTGTTTATGAATTTGCTCCTTTTTCTAATGTAATTGTTCCACATTTGTGAGATTTCATTTTATTTCTGGAATTAAAGAAGACTGAAATAAAAAAAAGTAGAATATTTTGGAGAAAAATTTAAATCCCAGATCAGCATCACTAAGCTGAATCAGGCTATATATAAAGAATGCAGCTTCTTCCAGATTGTGCCTCTTAGGAAAGATGCTAAGGAGGAGTTTTTTGGTCTTTTGCCCTACTATCAACTAGTCACCTTGTTACGCCTTACACTGTACTACACAAGTCCAGCTAAAAAGACAATTGAGTTGATCTTTGCTTCTGTTCCCCAGGGTTCTTTGTTTCTGTTCTAAATTGAATGTGATCAGTAGGAGATGTAGTGGTTAGAAGAAGAAAACCAAAATAGGAAGTCATAATTGATAGTAATCAAATAGAAGTGTAAACAAAGGTGGCTTAACAATTAATAAATGTTTATTTTGGGAAAACAATAATTGTTTTTAAATAATTAAGGCAAACTCAGCATAGCCTACTAATAAAAACCAGTGGTTTTATTGCCAAAGTTTTGTAGCACAAGAGAATGGATTGTGATGCATTACAGTGTAATAATACTATAATACTATACAGCAGTAAGAAAGGAAGCCACTAATATGCATAGCAACATGGATAAAGATTATCCTGTATAATCCTATTTATATAAAGGTTAATAACAGGAAAACTAGTACTTGATGATAGATGTCAGCATAAAGATTACATTGGGAGGAGCATATTCTTGGAAGGGAGACATAGAAACTGTACATGATGTTGGAAATGTTCTATATCTTGACTTTGGTGGATGCTTATGGGTGTGTATACCTATGTGCAAAATCATCACTTAAGATTAATGTATTTGTACAGTTTATATATGCCAACCCTTACTAAAAAATGAATTTGATTATTATTATTATTACGCATATACCATTTTTAAAAAGTAACTCAACTTAGTTTGTTAAAGTGAACCTAAATGAAAAGACCATCTTAAGGTTAAGATATAACAATAAATAAAGGCATTCTAACTTATTTTTGAAGATTTACATCTCATTTTACTGAATGAACGTGTTATCCAGTTCCCTCTCATTTAGTAACTATTTAACAATATTGATGTTGTATATGTTTTTCTCTCTACTAAAATTAAAGAATTATTCTGAAATCTCAGTTCAGACAAAAATGAATCATATATTAAGGAGCATTGCCCCCATTTTACAATAATTTTATTTTCCAGGTGGTTTGGGAACATTCCATGCCTTTCTAAATACAGCTGTACATGTAGTCATGTATTCCTACTATGGGCTGTCTGCACTGGGACCAGCCTTCCAGAAGTATCTGTGGTGGAAAAAATATTTGACATCATTACAACTTGTGAGTAATTAGTTTTCTTTAAATCCAGATATAAAACTAAACTGGAGTCATTTCTCTTCCCTATGAATCAGGATACTAACAAAAGCACAAAAGTCATAGAAAAATAGGAATATAGAATGTATAGCCCCTATATTGCACCCCATCATTATCCTTTCCAAGTTATTTAAACCTTTGTCCAGAACTGTGTTGAAAACAAAGTGTATTTGGTAGCCAAGAGGTTCAGGCAGTTAAACCAGAATGTATATCTTTATGCCATCTTTATACCATTTTATGCTTTTATATAAAATAAATATAATTATGATCAAGATAATCTCAAGGTTATTTGAATCACAACAGGCATAATATTAAATTAGAAGTTAGACATTCCATATTCTTGGTCTAAATGATTTTGAGGAAGAGAATATAATTATGAGGGCATTATAAGTCTTCCCCATCCCCCTGCCTCTGAGTCTGTTTTTCTTCTAAATGGTAAACATACTTGCTGATTAAAGAGGTAGGGTCACAGTATATCACATATATTGACAAAATTGACAATGCTGTAAATAACCAAGTGCACGGAAATAGTGAAATAAATTATTTTAATTCCTACTTTGCAAGAAAATTATTCATAATTGCTTTCTTTTAAGTATTTTTTCTGATTATAAAGTAACATATGACTATTGCCGAGAAATTAGAACATCTAATTAAGCAAAGAGAAAGAAAAAATAAACATAATTCCACATATATGTGTATACCAGTTGCTTGATTTGCATTATACTGCATATACAATTTTGTATTGGGCTTTTTTTTCTTCACTTAACCTACTCTTGAATGTTATAAAACCTTTTTAATTATGTGGCAAAATACTCAAATAGAACAAAGAATAGATATTTATTATTACCTTGAATATGTTGGTTATACACAAACACACTTGAGTCAGGTATTGATAGTGTCACCGAGCCGAGGGTCCCAAAGGTATCATCTTTGTGTCTGCAAAATGAGAGAAATAAGTGTAGCAACTGCATATGCATGTCATCGAAGTTTCTTAAGATAATGCAAGGAAGCTTGAGGATGATCATAAAGAAACTGTGGAAAGCTTAACTATGGTTATAACTGGATAGATTATAGGTAATTGTTATTTCTTTTTCTTTATGGAGTTTTATTTTTCTAACATTCCCACAGAGCACATGTTGCCTTTTAATCAGGAGAAAAAAGATATACAAAAAACCTGGGCATTAGCCTGGGAAGTCTTCCCATTAAGCTGTGTAGAATGTCCTGGAACAAAGAGCTCCCGGGCCTCATGAGGAGAGTCATCAATGCTGTTTCACTCCTTACAGATTCTCTGCTGTCATTGGCAGGATATATTTTTACCCTGATATAGCTGTGGATGACAAGTGGCAGGTACAAAGACCCAGGGATGCTTTGGTTCCTACAGAATTGCTGGGGCTCTAATTAGAATGTTTGTATTTCCCCCAAATTGAAATACCTCATCTAACAGCAAGACAGAATATTTGAAATCAAAACTCTTAGAGAAAATTAGGCCATTATATAGGAGTCCCATGTGTATTTTGTCAAGTCCAGGACTCAAGACGGAGACTTGCCAAGAAAACCTGCTCTGATGATTCTTTGGGTACAAAAGGGCTGCCGCACTGCACAGGTCCAGGGCCATGTATGTGGGGCCCACTGGAGTTGTGTAGTTGGGCAGAACTGAATAGTGGTTCCCCATTTCCATCTTGATTTTGACTCTGTCCCACCCACTCTAACACCCATGGATGCTAGATTTAAAGATAAAATTCCATACCCAACAGTAGCCTGGATATGGTTGGAGAGTGTTTAAATATAAGCAGCCAAAGAATGCATTAAATAATTGCTCCTTTGTGACTTCATATCTGAATAATATTTTTCATTCTTTCATCTGTTAGGTCCAGTTCATTATTGTCACCATCCATATAGGCCAGTTCTTTTTCATGGAAGATTGCAAGTACCAGTTTCCAGTCTTTCTGTACATCATTATGAGTTATGGGTGCATCTTTCTGCTGCTCTTTCTCCATTTTTGGTACCGTGCTTACACCAAAGGCCAGAGGCTGCCCAAAACTGTGAAAAACGGAATCTGCAAAAACAAAGATCATTGAAATGCAGGCACAACGTGAATCTATAAATGAGACTGGTATCTTACTTTCCTTGACAATCAAGAGCTATTTCCATGTGAAGTGCATTTTGTATATTTTTCAAAACCAAGAGCTTGTATTTTTATGATAAGTTATTGGGGTTTCTGATATTTGAGAGCCAAAGCTCCCAGATAACAGAGTCTAATTAGAGCCTAAAGCAGGCAGTTTTTCAGCTGCTTTTAAACTTAATCTAAAGGTTTTATTTAATACATTTTGTTACAGTGAAAGGAGGATATGAAACAGTATAGTACTTTTCAAAGAAGTTCGGTATAGATGAAAAATATCATTAGATATTTTGAACACAGACAGAGATCCATGCTCTACTATAGATTCCTTCTACCAACTCTGAAATTCTAACTGTGGGTCTGGCTTTGTTGCTTGGTGATTATATTCAGAAGACACTCTGTTTACTCTAGAGTTATTCTAAAGAGCTAACACTGGTGAACATTAAGTGAATTTTTGATAAGTTGTCATTTAACATCACTAACAGTAATTTTTAATGGATCTCTTGTGTAGCTACCAATAGTTCTGCTAGTAAGACTTCCCTACAGCACTTTTGTTGTATATACTGTTTGGAAGTAACAGTTCTTTCGGTTAGTACATCAATGCATATGACACTAAGGTTAGGTTAATATTTTGAAAACAAGATGATTTGTTCTGTGGCTTAATGAACACTGTGCTGTTAGTATTTTATAGTTAACTTTGTATATGTCTGGAAGGAAGTGAAATTTGTCAATGGAAAAAGTAGGCTGTAGCTCAGTGGGAAAAATCTGTGGTCTGTTGTATGTTACAATGTCACTTTCTCATATTGTCTTGGCTTAAAGGATTATCTGGTTAAATATGTTTTGGTGAGGTATATAAATGTTCATATCATTAGCACACTACAAGGACTCTTAAATCATAAATGATTTCGGACTTCCCATTATAATAGTTTCCAGAGATGGGTTAGAGTCATTTGTGAAGCAACTGGAAGCAAATGGTGGCACAGAAATTCTCTAGGGACTACTTGGTTATGTAAGGGTCTCTAAATAGAGGAGAAAGAGAGAGGCCATTTAATAGTTGTTATAGATACAGTGCATGGAAAGCCATTGCCCAGAATTATGAATTAATAACCTGGATTTATATAAACTATATAATGAAGACCTGAAACTCATTTTTGCTTAGTTTTGTTTCTTCACAATTACTGCTTTCTAAAATTCTCTTGTTCTCACGTTTTCTTGTTGGCAAACCAAAAATACTGGTCCATAGAGTTTTGGCCCAGAAGCAATGATATTTGGACATTTCTGAATTTTTCCCTATTGCTTTCATTCTTGTTATATTTGTACTCAATTTTGAAGAACTACTTATGCTTATATGACTTTAAACAATTAGTCCTTATGGGCCATAGTTATGTAACACACAGTGATAACATTGTACATCAAAACTAAAGTTGTTCATCCTTGTAAACTCCTGTAGTTAGGCATATCACCCCAAACATTTAATCTATACCATGGCCTCTTCTCTCACACTTACCAGATTTATAAGGCTATTTGCCTGTAAGTGACCTTTACTTATTTCACTTGCTTACAATATGAGAAGATGAGAGTTGATAAAGGGGGAAATATCTTATTTTTCTTAAGTAAAAAAATTAACAGAAAGCAGAATTAAAAGAACAGCAGCTATAATTATTTATCTGAGGGTCTCAGGGTTCCTTAACTCTTTTCCCATTTTAGCTCTTCACAGCCAGCCAACCTATGCTAAAATGAGACGGTGTCCTAGGTACTTTACTCAATGCACACAACTCCCAAAGACCCAAGCAGGGTAAAGACCAAAAGGAAGCCCAAAGAAAAGATGGGCCAGGAGAGTTTGGTTTTCATAATAGTTTCTGCCCTGCATTGTACAACCTGTTGTAACCTTCCTGTTGTCTTTAAGATGTCTGATTTGCTTGTGAACTAACAGCAACATGTGATGGAACCATGTTCTAAATGATGTGACTAGAAGTGGAGAGCTGGAACATTACATGAAAAGAAATCACAACTAGCACAAGTATCCTCCATATACACATCATTAGATCAAAATGAATATCACTGGATGTAGGTTGTACATGGACATTGTCTTATTAAAGGGCTCTGTGGGTCACACAGAGTTTCTGTTAAGGTTTCATCCACTTTTCAGGACTTTATTGCCTTTAGATTTGCTTACGTAACAAAGAGACCAGTTAAAAAACCTGGTTTACAACATGAAGTTCTATGAATCCTTGAAAACCTATGTCTGTGCTGTAAATAAATACAGATACAAAATTTTAAATGTCTATGGGATGCTGCTGGTCAATCTTAACTGAGTTGAATTCTTAATTGGGTGGAATATATCGTTCCCTAAATTATAAAATTATGAGTTAATGTTTCCTCAGTTATCTGTTATTTCTGTTAAATTTTTAAAGACTATGGAAAACTCCATGGATATTGTCAAAGTTTGTGTTTGTGTGTGTGTGTGTGTGTGTGCGTGTGTGTCTATTATAATACATTTGTGGTAGTGTGGTGTGTGTCTCTTTTATTTTGGAATCTAACTGCATATGTTTGCATGCTAGGTGATTTTAATGCTGAATACTCATTTAACCAGAGCATTTTCCACATTTGTTGCATACTTGGTATATTCAGAGCCCCGCTAGTATTAGAGTGATACAAAGATACCTTGGGCACAGAGGGGCCTCCTGAAACTTACCAACTGACAGAAGAAATTATGTGACAGGGCATCTAGGTGCCTTATGAGTGAACTTTCTGCCACTCAGAATGCAGGGAAGGCTCTATGAAGGACTTAGATCTTGTGTGTTTAAGATGTACAGAATTTCAAAATGGGTGGTAGGTTAGTGGGCATGGAATTGTAAGTGAAAAGAGATAACAGATCAAGGCCCAGGGAGAGGAAAGTTTAGGAAATGGCCAATAGACCAAATGAGAGTGAGGCTTCCCTGCAGTTCATACAGAGAGATGAGACCAGAAAAGGAGGCAGGCTCAGACCTTGGAGGCACCTGGCTGTGGCACATGGGCTTGATTCTCCAGGAAATTGATAACATTCGACTATTTTTGAGACAGATGAGGTTTGACCTGAGCAGTACTTAAGAGGCATCTGGGGGGTGGGTAGGGTGGTGGCTTTAGATACTAACAGTAGAGCTAAATTTGTTGATTAAGGATGGGAGGAGGAGAGCCAACATGTGTACCTAGAAAGAAAGGTGGGTATGAGAGAACTTCTGAATGGAGAGTCTCATCTGGTTTGACCATGGATGGGATGGTTAGCAGGGTCTAGGGAAGTGGTGGGGTAGTGTGGCAAGTGGGCTGAATCTGAAGCCATGAAACATGGATGTTAGATGCCAGGTGACCTTTGGTAAGCTGGTTAACCTCTCTCAGCTTCTGTTTCTCCATCTATTAAATGGGAACAATAGTACAAGTTCTCCTTGCTGTATTGTTCTGTGGCTTAAATGAAATAGTGTATTTAAAAGCACTTTTAGTAATTGGTAAAAATATGAACATATGCACAAAGAATACAGATTCAGCAGATTTAAATGGGGAGGAAAAGAAGGTGAGTCCCTAGCCCAAAAGGGAATAAAGGTTATGGTTATTTCTGCTTTAGCTGGAGTAAGGTATTCATGAATGCAGAGGGGATGGGATAAATTGACTGAGGGAAATTTTTTTCTTTTAAAAAAGCAGCATAAACATGTTTCTTTATTCTAGAAATGACTTGAGGAGTGAAAAGGTTGCATAAACTGTGGGAAATGGATATGCTTAGGGATAGACACAGATTTCAAATATTTCCCAGCCTCCAGCAGAGCCCCATTGAGGCTAGAGACCATACATTTGTAGTGGTCCCAGTTTGCATAATTGTGTTAGGCCCAAAATCATGTGGGCATGGAGAACACTTGCATTGACCAAGGTGGGGATTTGCAAGGAAGATACAGCAGAACAAGGGAGGTTCTTGAGAATGCCAGCAGGATTGGATGCAGTGATGCATTATGGGAGCTGAGAGTGAGACTCTGAAAGGATAATGGTGCTTATTGAGTTCCTTATATGTCTCGTGCGTTAAGATTCTCACGATATGGGATCCCTGGGTGGCGCAGCGGTTTGGCGCCTGCCTTTGGCCCAGGGCAGGATCCTGGAGACCTGGGATCGAGTCCCGCGTCGGTCTCCCGGTGCATGGAGCCTGCTTCTCCCTCTGCCTATGTCTCTGCCTCTCTCTCTCTCTGTATGACTATCATAAATAAATTTAAAAAATTAAAAAAAAAAGATTCTCACGATATCCCTGCAAGATAGATGCAATGAGGTAGTTACAGATAAGGAATTGATGCTTTATATTTATGTAAATATACCATTTACATATATTTTGACCAAGATCAGGAAGTTATTAGGTGGTAGAGCTGGATATCAAACCAAATCTCTTTGATTTCGAAGCTCTTACTCTTAGCTCTTATGCTATGCTGCCAAGAAAGGTTGATGGAATAAGGGAATGAACTGATTTGTAAGTTTAACTAGGAATGATGAAAACCTAAAAATAACAGTTACTTAAGATAGAAATTCTTTCTCATATAAGGTTCCAGAGATAGGCAGTCAGAGTTGGGTTGGTTGCACTATAGTATCAGAGACCCAGGGACCTTTGGTTTTGCAGGTCTCCATATGTGGCGTCTATTCCCATAGTCAATTCATGACCCAAAATGGATGTTGGAACTCAAGCCATCAATACACAGATTTCAGTCAGCATGAAGGAGAAGAGGATAAGAGAAGGGACTGTTCTCTCCATTTAAGGACCTATAACAAAAGTGATACAAGAGTGTCCAGAATTTAGTCATATGGGTCACACATAGTAGAAGGAAATCTGGGAAGTGTGCTCTTTATCCTAGCTGACTCTCAAGCTAACATCAGGGATTCAATCACTCTCGAAGAAGGAGGGGAATGCGAATAGTGGGGGCTGTCATCTGCGGTCAATGATTCAAAGTGCAGAGGTAGTACTATAGGGCTCTGGAAGTGAGTGGCTGATTCAGGAAATGTCTGATGGGTATTGGAATTGAACAGATTGATGAAGGTTAGGCATGATGTTGGATGGAATGTCCACATGAATGTTGAAGATCCTCAATGATGATGAGTCTTAGAATGAAAAATAGCTAGATGATAAAGTACTCTGAATGTGGGATATCACCAAGAAGACGACAGTGGATGACAATAATGAGAAGAGCAAAATGACACAAACCTCAAAATCTGGGGTGGTGCATGAATGGGGTTCTTTTTAAAAATAAACTTGATTTTAGAATAGATTTACAGAAAAATTATATAGTGCAGAAAATTGCCATATATGCATACCCAGATTCCCTATTAACATATTACATAAATATAGTACATTTATTGCAATTGCTGTCCCAATATCAGTAATTTATTATTAACTAAAGTCCGTACTTCATTCAGATTTCCTCAGTTTTTACCTACTGTCCTTTTTCTGTTCCAAGATTCCATCCAGAATGCCACTATATTTAGTTGTCCTATGTCCTTAAGCCCGCTTCAGCTGTCCTGGTTTCCCAGGCTTTTTTTTTTTTTTTAAGGTTATTTATTTTAGAGAGCAGGGTGGGGGTGGGGATGGAGAAGGGCAGAAGAAGAGAGAAAGAATCTTAAGTAGGCTCGCAGGGAGCCCAAAGTGGGGCTCCATCTTCCAACTCTGAGATCATGACTCAAGGGGAAATGAAGAATAGGACACTCAACCAATGGGGCCACCCAGGTGCTCCAGACTGTCCTTATTTTTGATGACCTTGACAGTTTGGGGGAATACTAGCCAAGTATTTTGTAGAATGTGCCTCAGTTGGAATTTATCTGATATTTTTCTCATGATTACCCAGGAGTTACTAATTGTTAGGAGGAATTGTTACCAGGGTTTATTAATTGTTAGGAGGAAGACAGAGGTAAAGTATCATTCTTCTCACATCATATTAAGGGTTATATACTATCAATATGACTTTTCATTATTGATACTAACCTTGGTCACCTGGTTGAGATAATGTTACTCTTTTTTCTCCTTTAATACTTTGGAAGGAAGTCACATGTAAGGGTAACTGCTTGAGCGCAAAGTAGCTCGACAAATTATTTGGAATTCTTCTGCCAGGGTAAGTTGCCTGTTCTCTCTCATTTATTTATTCAATGATCTGTTTATATGAGTATGGACTCATGAATACCCATTTGGTTCTTGGAGATACAATCTAATATTATGTTACTTATTTAACTGCTGAAATTCTTACAGCTTTAGCCCTTGAGAGTTCTTCTCTATGGCTCCTGTGTCATTTTGACATGTTCCCACTTCCTTACCTTCTGGCACTGCAAGATGCTCCAGACTCATCTTGTGTATTTCCTGCCCTAGTTCTAGAATCAGCCAATTCTCTAAGGGATCCTGATCCCTTTCATTGAGAAATGGTATTAGAAGCCAAGAGCTGGCAGTAGGTGTGCTCAGGGCTATGAAGTGTCATTGCTTCTAGGCCCTCTCAGCTGACAGCAAAGAATTGTATGTGTATATACTAACTAGTGCACACTTGTATTTCTATATGTAACCATATGTATATATTTAAGGTAAAAATGAATTCGTGTTGATATCTCCAATTCTATCTGTTACCACATGGATCATTCTAGCCTTTGCCCCTTGCCTGTCTGTAACTCCAGTAGTGAGAAACTTGGCTCTCACATCTGTCATGCATGTACTTAATAGTTCAATTCTAATACATCAACTTTATCAACTAGAGTTCTTGTTTTTTATTTATGGTCTCCACTCATTTCCAGAATTGCTTAGGTCAGCACCTTTTCCCCTTCACCCTCTTCAATGAGGTTGTTTCATATATTTATAATACAGCTAGGTTCTTTTGTTACCATTCTGCATTCCTTCCTGGGACTCTCTCACTTTCTAAATGATTTTACAAGTTTGACTCTGTGCTCTAAAGCTCTTTGAGTTTTGACAAATGTGTGGTGCCATATATTCATCACTACAGTATGATACAGAATAGTTTCACTGCCTTAGAAAATGCTCTGTGCTTCCCTGGTTCAACCCTTCTCCACCCTGAGCCCCTCAGGGGCCCCTGCTGATCTCTTTACCATCTGTATAGTTGTGCCTTTTCCAGAATGCCATATAAATGAGAATGTTTTTAAGTTTTTATATTAATTCCAGTTAGTTGGCATTAAGTGTAATATTAGTTTCAGAGAAGTACAATATATTGATTCAACACTTCCATACATCACCTGATGCTTATCACAAGTGCACTCCTTAAGCCCCATCACTAATTTCACCTTTCCCCTACCC